TGGCCTAAGGTTATTGGAAGCTCGAGCGACGCTATAGTTTTCAAAATGTCCAATTCGGCCGTTAGCTCAGAGATCGGGATATACATTATCGATCCCTTTTTGTGCTGGTCAATTTCTTCGGGTATTTCATTATAGGTGCTCTTTTGAGCCCATGAAGGCATCTCGTGTTCATCCTCCACACGCCTCCTTTTACCTAGGTTCCTTACATCAAATAATGATTCCCCTTCTTCCAACTTAATCCTTAGATAGTCATCACCTTCATCCTTTATCGATTCTGTAACCTCAAGGTAACGTATATTCATACCTCTAACCTCGGGACCATCAGGTTGGTTATTTCTCGTCACATTCCTTTGATTATCAGGTAGGGTTTGTTGTGCCCTGGTAGGACAATCTCTTGAAAGATGACCTTCCTGATCACATTGGTAACATCTACGAGATCGGATAGTTTGATTTTGGTTACCGGGCCGCTGATTTTGAGTTCTCTGGTTACGGTATAAGGGAGGTTCCCTATTTTCTTTAAGATCCAAGATGGCCTTCGTTAATTCCTTGATGCTTGATTCCATTTTACCTATTCGGTCGTCTTGATCTTGATTTTGGTCAACACGGCAAATCTTTAAAGCACCAAAAGCTGAAGCAAGGTCATCCACGTCTGATTTGGTTATGTTTGATTCTTCGTTTATGGATCAGGTGGGGTTCCTTACTACATATTCATTGTCCTTACTATATTTTTCCACCTTTAAAGCCCATTTTTTTGCATCATCATACGTTTCGGGGCATTGCATTTCAACTCTTTCTCTGAAAGGTTCCCTTAACCCCTGAACATACTATTGACTTTTTCTAAACCTCTTACATTATTCTTCACAACTTCTGCACATGCATCGAACTTGTTTGTGTATGCCTTGATAGTGTCGTTTGATTTTTGCTTTATATTCTTTAACCGCTCCAACTTTTCTTCAACATCACAGGAGGCTTTAGCACCAGAGACAATAGCGGCTTTCAGATCGACCCACGTACTC